TGCTTGACACCATTCGCAACAGCACCATCAGCTTGGTGTTGCTCAACACCATTCGCTCAGTGGCGAACATGCTGCAGAATGATGTTGCTCAGCTCTGTCTGCAACAATTGGTGGCGAACTTCGCAGCAGCTAGTTGGTGCTGCTATACACACTTCTGATCCATACAACAGTTCACTGTGGTGTTGCGCAACACTATACGCAACAACTGCTGCAAGACATCAGCACAGCAATATGGTGTTGGTAACCATCATTTGCTAGAATGGTGAAGAATACAGCAGAGCGAAATGGTGTTGCTCTTCACCGTCTGCAACACTTGCTGATGAATACAGCAGCATCAATGTGATGTTGCTCACCATATCAAACTAGTGAAAGAACAGAACAACAGCAAGATGGTGCAGCTCGACACTATACGCAACAAATGCTGGAAGACACAGCAAGCAAAGAATGATGAAGAACACAGCAGCGACAAGATAGTATTGCTCGACACCATCTGCAACAAGTTCTGCTGAGTAAAATGGCATAAATGGTTGCTCTCCACGTTTGCAATAATTGCTGACGAACAGAACACAGAAGATGGTGCTGCTCGACACCATTTCCAGCAATCGCTCATGCATATAGCGGCATCAGTGTGAGGTTGCTCAACGCATTTGTTATAATGACGAAGTACACAGCAACAGGAAGTCGTTCAGCTCGACACCGTTCGCAGCAAATACCGGCAAACTGCGCAGCAAAAATTGTGTTGCTCAACACTATTCGCAACAAGTGATAGCTCTCAACAGCAGCTCAAGCCATCTCAAAATGTGAATTCATATTGCATAAGTTATGGGAATCTGGTAAAGATAATCCACCTCAAAGTTTCGACTCATGTTTTTATTATCGTCGGACCTTCCAATGGCCCTGATTTCGGATATGAAGTGCAAATTACGGGAAGGCCTCAAAATTGCTCTTTTTTAAAGCATATTTCGGAGAACGTGGAACTAGCACTAGTCAATCGTATGCAACAGTAAACCCTCCTTTTTGGCAACATCAGGTGACCGGACCAACACAGTTGGTCTACTTCTGTGTATGCTCATAGACTGTGTATGAGTTTAGTAGAATGACGACTATTTTGGCCCAG